ATTGATATCTCAAAATTTGCACGAAATTAATGATGATATCAGGTTAATAGATTCAAATAGAATTTGAAATTATACATCTTGTCCCAAATGAACAGTGTAATCTGCCACTAAATTAAGGATCATGTTATATGTACACAATCTTTTACACATTACTCACAACATAAAGTGGGAACCACAGCTCGAATTATTTAATAACAGGTGGGACCCGCATGTTTGTGAGGGGGTGTAAACTATTTGGTAACCCCCTTGTGTGTACATACATCTTTATCCCTAAATTAATATGGTCCATTGCATACTAATTTATTAATTAGCGAAGATTATTCATTTGAAACATCTACTTTAAAATAAAATTATTCATTTACATTTGCAAATATCATAACCTACTTCTAATACTTAGAAAGTCTTCATCATCTGATTTAATCTTAAATATTTATTTTTTGTAAGTTATCAATGAGCTTGGAATACATCTTCAATAAATAATTAAATGCAACTTTGGCAAATATCCCCCAGTAAAAATTAAATGCAAGGAACATAAGAAAACCAACATCAAGAAAAAAATAATTAAATAATAAAAATAAAAAATTCTACAAAACCTGGAATAGTGAATGTTCTAAATTTCATCTTCCTCAAGTGAAAATTGTTGTTTGTATAGCATTTATTTGATAGCTTTTTTCATATCCGTCTCACAAACCTACTTGCATGTGTGTGTGCTGTGAAAAAAGTTGTGAATAATTGATGTACGTATAGCATCTTTCTCCTCAAATATACCTAGTCATTTCTTCCCAGAATGAAATATTCTTCTTCACTCAACGACGCTCGAAGACTTGAAATTGAAAGCAAGGAATGACTCCATCACACAGTCCGCCTTTATGAAGCAATTTCAACTTTCAAAAGTCCCAACGCAAGGAATCATAGGTAACATTCTTGCTAAGCACCGACATTATGAATGCATTGCCTCAAATGATCTCACGGCTAGATGTTAAAGAACATTGGCACACCCCAAACTTTGATACGAGTTTTGAGAATTTGGTTTTGCAATGTCAAGCACGTTAGGTAGCATTTGTCGGCAGAATTGATCAAGGGAAATGATCGTCAGTTCACTAAACAACTTGACCCTCGACGTGATGCACCAGAGTTCTCAAATGGATGTCTCTCGAATTTCAACATTTTCCATGGATTCAAAACCTAAAAGTCACGTGGAGGAAATGGATCTTTCAAATCCCACTTATATTGTAGCTCATAGAGTACTCCGAAATACTTGGTGCAATATCAAGACAACCGAAAAGAAACATGCTGCTTCTGATAGATGGTTCTTTTAAGGAAGTGGTTATGCTATTTTTCTTTTATTTTGTATTAATTATTAAATAACAGAAATATTAAACTATAAATATTAAACTATGGTCAGTCAGTTTCATGCAATTTTATTAAATATCAGAGATTATTAATTATTGAAGTATTAATTTAGAAATATCTGACTATATCTTACTGAATTTTCTCTGCTGGTAACAACTATGCCTCTGAATAATCCCTTAACTCATAAAGCACACAACTCCCCCCTCCTCTTCATGGGGGGGCCTTTCAAATACAAATTACAAAAGAACGACCAAAACTGAAATGTGGAAGAAAGCAAAAGAGACCGGAAAAGCAAAAACAGGGATATTCAACTCAAAATTGATTCTAACCAATCCGATGTAAATTCATAAGCAACAAATGTTACGGCACCAGCAGGTGCAGCTTTGACAATTGATGGAATGATGCCCTTATAAAGTCCAGCCCAACCCTCTCTCTGTAAAATTCGACGCAGGGCATCATGCATATTTCTGTATGCCCGATGCTCGACCCGAGCTCCATACCTTGGATCTCTTGGTAGTCCTTCAATCTGCACATATAGTACTTAAAGTAAGCTGGCATCTTAATGATATTAAGAAATACCCTTGTCTCCTTTCAACTAGTCTTGTAACGTTAAAATGCGAACAAAAAGAGTAAACATATCCTTAGACAACTTTATCGTCCAAGTCATTAGTAGTGACAGCAGCAAAATCAGCTGGCAAAGCCTGCTGCCAGTAAATAAAAGATGACTAGTGGGTGAAAAGGGATATAGCATCATGATTGAAAAGTTTGAAGCAAGGGTGCTCTTGAAGAGCAGTTTAGCTAACAAGCTTACAAAAAGGTAGAAGTACTTCTTGAAGAGTACGTAAAGAATTGAAACGCTTTGTTAAAAAAGTAAGTTTTGAACAAAAAATCTCAAAGAAAGTTTCTTCTGAAGAAGCTCAAACAAGTTTGGCAAGGAAAGTTACTTGGAAGTTCAATCATTCCAGTGACTGAGCCAGACAGAAAAATATTAAATTATCAATCAGGAAAAAGTAAAATGGAATTTTGTAAAGGAGAAAGGATAGAAATTTGTACAAAGTTCAGCACTTATTCTTCTCTTTACCAAAAACATGCTAAGGTGCATATAACACTTCGCTTACTACTACTTATCACGACAATTATAACTTTGAAGAGTTAACAGAAAATATCAACCAAATGCTCAGTGAATCAGTTAAATAAGGGCGTGAACCTACCTGAAACCTCTTCTTAACTACATCGAGTGGATGACAAACAGCTTTAGCACATGTTCCAGCAGCTAATCCGCAAAGGAAAAGCTGGAAGCTTGAAAGTGCATCATCTGCTTGGCTGGCATCAGTAGATCTATACCGGTTCCAAGCCTAGAAGAATGAAAGAAAACCGGATAAAGCCCAATCCAAGAAATTTAATTTCAGTCCCAAGGCAAAAAGGTTATGAGACAGTACTCTCATCCATTGAAGAAAGACTTCCAACAGTTATGTTCAATATATCTCCAAAAAAAAAAAAAAAAGGTCCAGGGCATTGTGGAGCTGACCAAAAAGGAGAAAATATGATAGCTTTTGCAAAATGATCTCCGTTTGGATTATTGGATATGCCAGATCAAAGCCTTAAAATAACAAAAGAAAGAAAAGTAAAGCAAAACAAGATAGATGTACCACAAGGCTCAAAGGAATCAGACATTTCATTTTGTAAACATGATCAGAATATCAACCAGGACAAGGGCATTCTAAGTATTTATATCTTCAGACAGGCAATGTGTACCTATTGCTGTCCCAGCTCGTGTATGTGCATGTGTGTGTGTGTGTGTGAGAGAGAGAGAGAGAGAGGGCAATATACGGGGAAGAAAGTTAATATTTCACCATTGCCCAGCGTTTAAATGTATCATAGGTTCCAAACTGCAACCCGGCATAAGGAACTATCTCAACCAATGTAGGTACCAATCCAGCATACAGCCCTCGGATGCCGCGGGTTTCAACTATCCCAACAAATGCCGACCTCATGTTTGGATACACCTAAATATGGATATAGCATCTTACTTCCAGAAGTTAATGATTAATATCATAAAATACACAATGATGATGTACAAATGAAATGCTTTCACTTCCAAGTTTCAACACAGTACCTAAAAGTTTCTTCAAATATATATAAGGGCATATTTACAGCCTGTTTGGGACTGATTTTTTCCTTCAAAAAATTGATTTCTTTATCGTTATTTCACTATTTCTGCCATCATATTTGACTTCTTCTTTCACAAGTCGACCCCACTTTTCTCTTAACGGTCAAAAAATCAATTCTCAAAATCATTTACAAACAGGCTCTTAATGTGCATAACAAGTTAATTGCTAAACAAAGGGGTATTCATATGGAATATAAACATATTAGATGCTAAATTAATTCATATTGTTCTTAAACCACATGCTGTCCATATTTCGGATTTATATAGGCTTTAAAGCCCGATAAAACCTAGGGACTATTCCATGCTTTACACCCGGTCTGCAATGAGCCCTGGTGTTAAGTCGAGTCAGGTTTTCCCTCATTTTCCGTTCAACTACTAAAGTTAGAGCACATGCCTGGGCTAGAGCAGAAAATCACCAATTCAAGAACAAAGGTGGGACATGTTGAGCAATTAATTTACTTTCCGATGACTTGTCTTTGTATATAGTAAAAGGAGCCTCGCAACTAACAAGAAAGGTCATTTACTCATTGACTAGCATTCATTTGATATGGGGTCAGAAGTTTTGAGTTATTCTGCCCTATGCGGTTCAACTGTGGATAGTCAACATGCTTCTACAAAAAAAATATATATATATAGAAGGGGGCAACCTGAGAAGTAATCAATTCATTATACACATCTAGGTAAAAGAAAGTTTCTCAAGAGAAACATTCATCAGTGAAATGTCATAATTATAAAAATTTATCACTCGAAATGAATTCAAGCATGGGCAGGCCTACACATTTACAGATGGTCATCTGCAGACACACACACACACACACAACCCCAATAATTAAATAAATGATAAAAGTAATAGAAACTAGAAAATAAAGTACGTAATTCCCTGTGAAAGACCCAATACCTTTGGCTCACCCTGTGAAGCTAAAACGGTTCTTAGCAGATCAAATGGATACGATCCAATAGTGGCAGCACAACCTGCTAATGCTCCACTAACATAAGAAAGATATGGACTTAAATTGATATGATCTTCTGCACCAGAGAAAACAATCGACAAATAGCATGTCAGAAACCGAAAGGCAAAAGGTAAGGAAATTGATATTTATAAGGGTTTTATACATTTCATCCTCAGAATAGTCTAACACAAATCAGTACAGAGTAAACATGACAAAAGGCTCAAGAAAAAGAAAGAATGTCTGCTTGAACAAGAAAACCAAGCAAAGTTTCTCCAACAAGAAGAAACAAGCAATATAATATTGCTTACCAGCAAAACAATCTAATACCAAAAGATAGACATGTTCAGTGACTGAAAGTGGAAGAATTAATTCACAACGTGTAGCATTTAGCAAAATATCAAACTGCATCCAGAAGGAGAGCAGGAACTTTAGAACAAACCTGACTTGGAAGAACCAGAAGCAAATGTTTTGATCTTGTGCAACACCGTAAATTGTATTGCCGTATATGGCATAACCATAAGCAAGGCTGGTACATTACCACGCCAAAAGCCCTGTTACAAACATGAAATTAGATGGAGGACTCCATTTGCTAGCCTCACGAATAATTACATTACCCTCAGAAGTAAGATCACGTCCTTCATTACGAGCTTGGATCATATGTGGATACTAGATATTAACAAATAGTTTGGAAACATAATCACATAAATATATTCATAATAAACAAATACCGGTAAGCCTTCCTCTCTAAAGATGTCCTTGGTTGCTTGCAGCATACCAGTATATTTTGATGGACCATATGCATTTCGCTGAAGCAAAGTCCAATGTGTTGTGGGTTCCAATTGAACCTGCCCATAGATACCATTATAAGATAAATTCTTCATGGGCCCACACCCCCACAATATCCATAAAAATCAAGAGTCATTTTAAGGGTTAGTTATGACAAGCTGCTTAGTAAAAAGGAGGAAAAATGATTTAAACAGAGTAGCGGGGCAAAAATGGATTAGCTAAGTCATTATCTTTGATTACCTCTCTCACTGTTTCCTCACCTATAACATGCATCATTTAAAAAAGCTGGTAGGGTAGCAAACTGTTTTGCCTCCTTGAGGTGATACGTATTCAAAAATCTAAACCTCAGTAAAAGACAAGAAATGAGCCACACCAGGTACAAGTCCTATTATGTTGAGACATAGGTCTTGACAAATGGAGCTCCAAGAGTAAACTTCGAGGCTCTTAATAAAGGAGCAACTCATGAGAGTAATACTTGGCCACCTTACTAGACAATAATGACAAGCCCCAATTTGTATATTGGAACTCAAAGTCATCCACACAAACATATTGTTTCTTTGGTAGCATTTCAGCAGTTCAATAATTCAAGGAAAATCCCATCTTTGAAAATCATTATTCTCATTTCTCAATCCAGAAAAGTAAACTTAGGATCAACAAAGGAACAACTCATGATAATACAAACAAACTCAAGCCTTCAATTCTCAGTTACAAGCAGGAGTGGATCCAGGGAAAAACGGGCTGTAGCCACTGAAAAATGGCTTTCCTACTCTGCTTCTGATTTTTCGGATTATTCGGAAAGAGTTGATACGAATGATTTTGATGATGAGGGATCGGGATTTGCTTCTTCCCTAGGAACCTACTTCGACTGGAGCTTAAGATTCAGCTAGTTCAAACGCCCATCTTCCCCTTGCTTTGGAATCAAATCCCACTTCTTCCCATTCGGGTTGGGTTGACCCAAAAGTACAGTAAAAAGGAATGGAACCACTGGAGAGTTGTCTACTGCTCACACTTAGGCAAAGACGACTGACTTTGTATTCCTGAGTGACTTCTCGACATTATGTAAAAGAGATCAGTCTTCCTCTCCAATGAGTGACTTCTTTTAAGCTAGCCTTCCTTCTTCACCAATTAGTTAATATTCTAGAAATGGAGCACCTTGTATTTACTTAAAAGCTCGCCGGACTCAGCACAGCCTGGCCGTCCTAAATCCGCCACTGTTTACAAGAATGATTGACTACTGCAAATTATGATAATTATCACCTGGCAAAACTTAATCAAGTGAACCATTTCTAACCAAATTCTCATAAATCAAAAACCAAATATTCACCTAACAATGCAGCACTCTCCCAATAACAAATATCGACAAAATTTTTACCTGAAATCTGATCTTAATTACGTCAAGTGGCGATGTGATAGTTCTCGAAACAGCACCAGAAATTGCACCAGCTGTCAAATCAATCAAAGTCCTTTTCAGCTGCCCTGGCTCTTCCATCCCCTCCTTCAATACAATACAACAACCTGCGAACAATCCTTTCAGTTCTAAAAGATCCCAAATTTCCCCATTCGCCACCGAACAAAACCCAGAAAAGAAAACACCCACATGCCCAAAAGGCATAGCAAATGTATAATAACTCCAAGTATGCATCCTTTCAATAAAAATATGCTCCAATTTTCAAGAAAGCAACAGAAAAATGAAAAGACTATAGGCATAATACGAATAATTTTAATAAAAATGTATATATGCGCACCAAGAAACCAGAAATTGAACGAAAAATATCTTTTTAAATATAAAAATTTACCTGCAAAGAAGTGAGAAATGAGCCAGAAGCCGCCATTGATAATTCAAGAGATATATTTTTCTAATCTTATAAAATATATGATCTATGGTCTGTATCTATAGGTTTGGGTGTAGAGAAGGGGTTTTGCCGCTATAATTAGAACAAAGCGGATATTCAAGGAACAACAGCGTGGGGGAAATATTCGTATTTGTTAAACATATGGGGAATTTCTAAATCAATTTTTTTATTGGTTTGACTGGGAATTATTGCCTGTTATGATTGTAATTATTATTGTTCTTTTCTTGCCTTAGCTCCCGTTTGCCTACGTTAAATTAAATTTCATTTTTCTCTCTTTTATTTTCTTTCACACAATCTTTCATAAATAATATTATATATAAATAAAAAAAATTTCCTTTTTTTTAACCACTCATTCTTTAAAAAAAATATTATTCCATCCATTTTAATTTGAAAAAATGGGATCAAACGGGATTTTTATTGAAGCTAATGAGTATGGATAGGTGTTTCAAATTGTTTTATTGAATGATTTACTATTCATATTAGAAGCATGTTTGAGCCCCTTAAGAAGTTAAAAATGCATTTTGATAATAGATTGATAGAGAATGTATGATTAAAAAAAATATTGAGTTTGCATGTAATATTATTTTATTGAAGAATGTGTGACGCCACTTGATAAACAAGGCCAATCTGATCATCTAGAATAATTCAAAAAAAAAAAAAAAAAAAGATTTATCTACTTTCAAAAATTAGGAGACCAATGTATCATAATTCATAAATAAAAAGTTCAAGCTCAAGGGTTTGTGAGCCAACTCGTATTTTTCGTATTATCGCCTCTTAATTAAACATATTTAGAAGATGTGTATATGAGTAAAACCATATTGATAGAAATATGTTAACAAATGTTTTGACGGAATGAATGTTGGCAAGATATGATTGGATGTAAAATTTGACTATCTTTTAAATAATCCAATAATGTGATGTTATGTGGCATTATATGAAATACTATGTCAATCATTATGTTACTATCGCATGATTCATGTGTATATCCTACCACTCCTCCTATCTGAGTTAATTTAAATCTTTATATTGATTCATCGATATCTTGTACATCACTATTTTAATACTATCGTCTTCATACAAATGTCCATACATCTCTGTTTGACTTAACCAACATGATGGTCGAGTGAAAAATAAACCTTATTATAATTCTAAGCCCTTTTGCAATCATCCCAATTGAAAATTATGCCATTGAAAAATTGAGAATTTCAAAGTTAAAAAGGGGTTATATTATAATATATAGGTCAAATTGTGATTAACTTCCACTTGTACCCATTAAGTTAAGATTTAACTTATAGGGCCAATACTCGGCCCAGTTTTTTATTCGTTGACAGGCCCATTTCGTTACCCTAATAAATTTCTCTTTCTCTGGAGGAGCAAAACCCTTCCGCAGGTAAAAACCCCAGATAGGGCGGTTATAGTGCGCGAGAGAGAGTTCGAAATCGCCACCATGAGGCCGCTAGACGAGAAGGAGACGACCCTAGTTTTTGACAAGCTATACAAATTTGTGGGAAACAATCTGCAAAAAATTGTGATGGAAAACCCATCTTACGAAGGACCCGACCCGAACCCAGGACGCTACTGCTTTCGCCTCCAGAAGAACCGGGTGTACTACGTATCTGAATCTTTAGTCAAGCGCGCCACCAACATCAAGCGGGAGAAGTTGGTGTCGATGGGTACCCAAATAGGAAAATTCACCAAGAGCGATAAATTCCATTTGACGATTCAGGGGTTGAATTTATTGGCCGCTAATGCTAAGCACAAGGTTTGGCTAAAGCCCACTTCGGAGATGAGCTTTTTGTACGGGAACAGTGTGTTGAAAGGTGGGGTGGGGAGAATTACTGAGAATATTCAGGTGAATGATGGGGTGGTGGTGTATTCGATGGCGGACGTGCCGTTGGGGTTCGGGGTTGCAGCCAAGAGCACGCAGGATTGTAGGAAAATGGATCCGAATGGGATTGTGGTGCATCACCATGCTGATATTGGGGAGTACTTGAGGATGGAGGATGAACTTTAATTGATACGAATTAGGAAGAATTTTGATAATTGGTGTTGTTGTTTTAATGAACAAGCTTTTTCCTATAACTTCTATTAATGTCATTCGTGTTTTAATTTTGTGATCCAATGTATTTCAATTTTGGCTGAATTCTCGTTTTGATTTGGTTTTCATACTACTGCATATAGCTTAGAATGGTGCTCGTGTTTGTGCATCCAAGCTCTTTAAAAACAAGGACAATGGAGTATTTAGTTTCTTTCCAGCACATTAGTTTCTTTGCTCAGGTCTTCAATTCAGCAGAATCCTATATTTTCTTGCCCCAGCCACCTTTCAATCCTTCTCCAAACTCCTTGATTGCATTTCCCCTTATTTCTTTATTTGAACCAAAATTTCCAAAGAATTGATGAAAAAGTTTAATCTTGGGACAGGAATTTATGTTTGCATCTTGTGATCTCTGTGTAACTATCTATTCTATAGACTGCTATGATCTTCTTCATTGTTGACTTCCTCTTTGATTTCATTAATTTGGAATGTCAATAACCTGCCCTTTAGGTCTTGCTCTGTAAGGCTATTGTACTATATTCTGATATTGAAGGTCTTCAATTGAAAGTATACCAATTGAGGGGAAGCTGGTTTGAATACTGTGGGTAGTATAGTTTAGGTTATAGAATTTAAGGGAGTAGTGAGATTTATCCTCTTTGTTAACATTTTGTGATGTGTTAAAAATTTGGAACGTTGGCGGCAAAAATAAAGACGACTATACTAAACTAAAGTAAAGAGGCATTCGGGAAGCGACTAGTCGCTTCTGGCGAAGCTTCTAGAAGGCACTATACATAGATAGAAGCAAGCGCTACGAAAGCAACAACAATCCCTACCTACCCCAGCCCATCCCTTCACCCGGATGATAACCATTTAAGCACCTCTAGAAGCAGACAGAAAGAGATGAGGTTTAGTATGTGGGAGATTACTAAGTCCACTTTCGGGCGTTCCCCAGACAACTTAGACAAGTAGTGTGTACAAGGTCCCACCTGTCCCCTCACATCGGGGGCGGGACCCAGACATGGGCCCCGATGTGGGATCTCGCCCCATGTGAGGGGGCGAGGTGGGCCCGTGTACAAAGGGCTTTTTCCTAAAAATTTGGCCGTTGATTTGAATAAGTGTTATTTAAATAAATGGTCAGATTATCTGTCACATCACGTAGTGCCAACAAAAGTGAAAGTGTAGCATGATTGCAAATTGTAATCATGAATTCGCAATTCAAATAAGAAAATTTATTCAATTTTTTTATTGCAATTTGTATTCGTAACTAGTTGTCAAGATTTTGAAAATTCCTTAAATTGTTAATGATTTTAGTGAACAGATAATAGAGAAAAACAATTTGTGTTGGAGAGAGACAATGTAAGTAATGTAACCAATTTTCTTTTTCTTAGGTTAATTCCTAAATTATTTATGCAATTTTTTGGAGTGGTTGATTTTTCAGGTCCAAGAGTTTTTTTTAAGGTATTTTTTATTTTATTTTTTTGGTAAAAAATCAATTTTTTATGTGTAAATTTTTTTTTCTCGTAGTAGTCCGATTTGAAATTTTGTAATCAGGTCTTGGATCCAACCCCAGATCCGTCCTCGCATTCAAATGATACAATTCATCAATCTTAGTCCAAATGACACTGAAATATTGAAGTAAAAATGAAACATAAAAAATATGTTCACTCCAAAAGGTTGATATCAAATTAGAAGGTGTAATTTGCTCAACCAAACAATCCCCATCTGAAATTCCTCAACCATACCATGGAATCCCCAATTTTGTGCTAATTTCGCTTTTGTTTGGTGCGAATTAAAATCAGATTTTTAGTATATTTTGATAGAAATTAATTGAAATGTGTGGTTCAAAGGTTATGGAACTCATAAAATATGTAATTAAAATGAATTGTTGATTTTGACTTAAATTAAAATTTAGATTTTAATCGGTTCCAAACAGGGGCCTAAGTACCCACCAAATTGCTTTTAAATTAGGCTAAATCCTTGGAATCATCTTCAATCTTCCCGTATCATCTTTTCAAGATCTCTAGATTTTGTCCGAACTTTTCCACATACTTGCAACCAAATGGAATTAGAAGTCCGAACATATGGTCCCGCTAAATATTAACGCGTTTACTGTATCCATATCTGCATCAAACAAAAACTACATTTTATCAAATTACTATCATGTATCGTCCATATAATCTGTGTAACCGTTGAAGGAAGTCTTATGAACTCTTCATTGAGATGTGTTTAGCATCCATTCCACATCCCTACACAATGTATTGCTAATTTGTAATTCTATTCACAACATATGGTGACATTATCATATATTTCGAAAACAAATATGTTGCAGACAGTTACATATTTCAAAATATGTAAAGATTAATTACTGTGACATTCATCTTCATTTTTATCATATCACAGCATGTGCAATTTCCTTTTAACATGTTAACAAAAGAATTACACAAGAAATTCCCTTTTTTTTTTTTTTTTTTATTTAATCTATAACTTAAGCACTAGCAATCATCAATGCAAAACAAATGGATGGAAGCTGATGGTGTCAATTCGAATATGATTTCTACCACTAGTGATATGGGAATTATTGAATTCGTTTGATATGAAGGCACATTCAATGTAAGTGTAATCTTTACTGTCACGTTAATTTTTTCGATTGCAAAAGGTTTGATTCTCTTTTTTATGAAAATGTACTTTTCTCTCTCTTCTTTTCAATCACACATTTTCCTTTAAAATAATATTATATGTAAATCAAAAACTTTTCATCTACACATTCTCCATTAATCTACTATTCTAAAGTTCATTTTTCCTTAAAAACGGGTGTCAAACACCGTCATAATTTTAGAAAGTACTACATATAAGTCCTTGTTTGACAATCATTAAAACAAATTTTTTTTTCCCCAAAATCATTTTCAAGTTCAACCATATTTCTCACAATAAAATATTCTATCGTTGACATATCATATACATTCATTAGTGAATAAACTTATAGTGGGGCTTAACATTTGAATTACATTTAAAATTACCAATGAATTTACATGACACTGCATCGATGCTTATTAGATCATTCTTACAATATTTATAAATAGGTTATATACTATTTTTTACCGTGTAAATCACAAACGCCCAACTATTGCATTTCACGAGCTCATTGTACATAAATTCATTAAGTTTTAATCTCATTAATTCAAGATTGACAATGCGAGTTTGTTTCGTCAATCACACGATTAATTACTTTAGTTAATGGAACTGATGCGTTTTTTTCCATTTAAAAGGTTCTGTTACTTAAATTCTCATGTTCTAATTCTTAACTTAAGGTTCATAGCATATGGTCACATTATCACATATTTCAAAAACAAATATGTACAGATTAATTATTGTGACACTTATCATCATTTTTATCATATCACAGCTTGTGCAATTTTCCTTTTAACATGTTAAGCAAAGGATTACACAAGAAATTCCCTTTTTTTTTTTAAAAAAAAAAAATTAATCTATAACTTAAGCAATAGCAATCATCGATGCAAAAGAAATGGATGGAAACCGACAATGTTGTCAATTCGAATATGATTTCTACCACTAGTGACATAGGAATTATTGAATTCGTTTTGATATGGAGGCACATTCAATGTAAGTGTAATCTTTACTATCACTTAAATTTTTGAGTTATGCAACGTACATTAGGGTGTCCAGCCTTCTCACATAGAAGGACATGTGAGGAGGGTAAATATCGTTATGAGCGTCGCATTATATACTAATAGTATATTCCTTTACTTTTTTTGTTACGAAAGCTTTGGTATATAATTTTAGAAAGTAGTGCATATAAGTCCCTATTTGACAACCATTTAAATAAAACTCTTTTTTTTCTTTTTTTTTTCACAAACTCATGTTCAACCACATTTTTCACAATAAAGTATTTTACTGCTGGCGTGTTGTATACATCCATTGGTGGATAAATGATGAGAATCATGGAGAGCAAGTTAACAAGGATCCATTGCATGTTCTTGAGTGATACGGATCAATTAGAAGAGAAGTTCCTAAACCAATTAAAAAAAATGGAAGAAACATGAAGTATGTGGGAAAACGTAGAGGATGCACAAAAATGAGTATAACTTTTTGTTTGGTTTTCGAATTTTCGTCCATGAATACAATCTGTAAATGTCTTTCGATTATGCACAAGTTTATCAGATGTCCTAGTCAAACTTTGCGAGTTTCAGAACTACTATTTCTATGTGGGTTCAGTTCAGTTGGTATCAGAGCTTTAGCTTTAAAATTTGGTATTTTTTTCTTTTTATTTTTGAGTTTAAAGAAAAAATAGCTTAAAAAAAAAAGAAAAGGGAATGGAATGTCAAGAAACATCAAGATAAAAAGGAGAAAAAAATACAAAAAGAAAAATATATTCAATTTCAATATCAAGATTCGAGGAGAATCTTTTTGAAGAGAGAGTGAATGATGAAGATCATGGAGGGCAAATTAACAAGGATCCATTGCATGTTTCAAAGTAATATAGATCAATTAGAAGAGAAGATTCGAAACCAATTAAAAACAATGGAAGGAATATGAAGTATGTGCGAAAACGCACAGCATGCACAAAAATGTGTATAACTTTCTTGTCGATTGTTGGATTTTCATCCATAAGTACAATTTGGAAAACATCTTTCGATTCTGCACAAGTTTGCCGGATGACTTTGCAAAATTTTGTGACTTTTAGAGTTACTGTTGCTACATAGGTTCACATCAATAAACTTATAGTGGGACTAAACATTTGAATTACGTTTAAAATTCACCAATGGATTTATATGACACTTCATCGGTGTTTATTAGATCATTGCTATAATATTTATAGATATTTTTATTTTTTTAATATGTTATATATGATTTTTTCCCTGTGTAAATCACAAAAACCCAACTATTGCATTTCTCGACCACATTCAACATAAATTCATTAAGATTTAATTTCATTAATTAAAGATCGACAATGCTAGTTTGCTTCGTCGATCACTCAATTAATTACTTTCGTTGATGGAACTGATGCCTTCTTCTTCTTCTTTTTCCATTTAAAAAGTTCTGTTACTTAAATTCTCATGCTCTAATTCTTAAGTTTAACAATAATGAGGCATCATCTT